TCTTTTAATTCTATTTTTCCATGAACTTTTTGCTTTTTTTTTTTTTTTTTTTTTTTGTCTTTTTTCGTGACCGGCAACGGATCGCAACCCTCAGTGTCGTGCCCGGACCGGACCGGGACCGGCAACGGAATTGCAACCCTCGGTGTTGCACCCGCACCTCGCTCAGCCAGTGAGCGGCCAGTCTGTATGTGGGATCCGAACCCTCGGCGGGAGCCACTGGGCCAGCCCCTCCATGAACTTTTTGAAGTACCCTTCTATAAGCTCCTTAAGAGAGTGACACAATTTGGTTTTTTGTAGGGGTCATATATACTTAAGAGGGTTGTTGATAAAGCAAGTTTAAAATAGATTACAGCTGCAATAGAATTTATACAATGCCTTTTGTTCTAATTGCAAAGTGCATCAGTTTAACTTGATATTGATAAAAACTTAGTTACAAATGATTGTTTTCTTCTACACCTGCTCTCCAAAATGTGCATTTGGAGTGATGTTTTAAAATATCATAATTGGATTTTTTGTGATTACAAATATACAAAGTTACACAAAATGTATATAATACAGAAAATCAAAATGGCAAATGTGAAAGTTCTCCCAGTCTTGTTTCCCAAAGATGACGGTGGCCACGAGATTGGAACCTGTTCTCTTTGTGTTACTGTGACTTATCTATTTACCAAAATAATGTTTTCTTAGTTGACATTCTGGTTTGGGCACACCCATTCTCTTTTTAAATGACTGCATAATATTTTACTATTTTCCTATTGACAAGCGTTTGGGTTTTTTTAGTTTTTCATTGTTTCAAACTACTTTATAGTCAAAATTTTTTACCAATCTCTCGTGACACTTGGAAGAATGTTTCTGCTGCATAAATGTCTAGAAATTGGAAAGCAAAAGCAAAAGATTAAATGTTTGCATTTTTAATAGAAAGCACCTTATTCTCCAAATATATGGCAGTTTAAACTCTCAATTGCAGTGCCTGTTTCTGCTGCTTGCACAGTTGCATAGCACCATGCCCTGTCACATGCTGAGGCTTGAGCCTGGCAAGAGGAGACCTTGGGCCTTTCTCTAGCTTCTGGGGTTGAATGTTTATTTTAGTTATTTATTTATTTTTGTCCTTTTTGAGACCGGCCGCACCGCGCTCAGCCAGTGAGCGCTGTGAGCGCACCGGTCATCCCTATATAGGATCCGAACCAGCTGCAGGAGCGCTGCTGCACTCCCAGCACCTCACTCTCCCGAGTGCGCCACGGGCTCGGCCCTGGGGTTGAATGTTTAACTCGTTTATTTTCTTTCTTGATTCCTAATAAATATGTTGAAGACCATCCACTTCCTGATGTGTACTGCCATTCTGTATTACTTTGAGTACTGCTTTTTAATATCATTTTAAAATCTCTAATCTTTTTATTTCTTTTTCAACTTATGAATTTTTGAAAGAATATTCTTTAATTTCTAAGTGGTTAGATTTTAGCTCCACTATCATTTTTAGAGTTAATTTTTAGTTGTATGGCATTATGACCAGAGATTATAGGTATATGGTTTCTTTTTTTTTTTTTTTTTTTAAAGATGACCGGTAAGGGGATCTTAACCCTTGACTTGGTGTTGTCAGCACCACGCTCACCCAGTGAGCAAACCGGCCATCCCTATATGGGATTCGAACCCGTGGGCTTGGTGTTATTAGCACCGCACTCTCCCGAGTGAGCCCCTATGGTTTCATTTTTTAATTATCAAGGTTTTCATTGTGTTTTAGTACATGGTAATTGTTAATATTCTATGGGTGTTTGGAAAAAATACGTTCTTTTGTTCTTTGTGACTGAGCAAAGCTGTTCAAAATGTGGACGTGGCTCCTGCTTCTCTTCCTCTCACACCCGTGTTCTATACCTTCGGCAAACTATGTGGCTCTTCCTCTAGCAGTCTCTGCAGAATCCACGGCCTCCTCCCTGTTGCTCCATCCCCCACAGGAGCTGCTGGTCATCCCTGCAGCCAGAAGGATCTGCTTAGACCTAGGACAGATCTGTGCCTTCACGTGTCCCAGCTTTCCAGGAATAAAACCCAAGTTCCCTCATGTCCCTGGGCTCTGTGGCCTGGCCCGGCTGCAACCCTGCTGCTCCTGGAGC